GGAGGAGAGGATGGAAAATACATTGATCTTTAGTCCGGTCACCTGCAAATTGGACATAATTAAACAAGACACTGCAGTGGTGCTCCTTTTAGGCAGAGAATAAAGGGAGCGTTGAGGAGGATAAATGCAGAGGAAACCAGCATAAGAAACTGGAGGACGAAATGGTTAAACACGTTGACTGTGGCATGGGGGGACAAACTACAGGACAGTGAAACAGAGTGGTGAAACAGAGAGGTGTACAGGAAAGCAGCTAGGATGGGGTGGATGGATTACAAGGAAAATTAACCCCATTAGCCCGGTTTGTATTTACTAATAATCAGGAGAAAATAGGGAAAATAAATGTTGAATAAGACGAGCAGGGGAAGGAGGAGACAGGGTGCAGGACGGGGTGAGGAAGCTGGAACTGAGATGAGGAACAGATGAGAGGCAGGGAGCTGGAAGGTACAGAAAAGGGAGCTGGAGAAGCAGGCGAGGAGACACCCTTGTGTAATCAAAGAGCTGCAGGGCATGGGGAGCACTGCAACCCACGAAAGCTTATGCTCAAATAAATTTGTTAGTCTCTAAGGTGCCACAAGTACTCCTGTTCTTTATACTTACCTGGCGTGCAATTAGAGGGGCATGGCAGGTTCCATGGGCTAAGGGAAAGTACATACCTACAGCCTGGAAAACTGAGATGGGATTGTGGAAGATAAAGGGAGCCTGCACGGGAGAGAGATGAAATCTCTCAAACTAAGATAAAAAGTGATGGATTTCAACTGAAAAGAAATCAGTCTGAACAGCAGACTGACCCACTCAGTACAGCCAGACCGCTGGGAGCAGAGCGGACATCACCACCCTGAATAGGCAGATGGCCCTAGCCTCAATTATGGTCTGGCTAGAACGGCTGAGACGCTAGAAGCCATCTGAGAGACAGGGTGGGTGAGGTCAGATCTTTTATTGGACCAACTGCTGCTGATGAGAGACATGAACTTTTGAGCTTACCCACCTTGTCTCTCTAATAGCCTGAGACCAACCTTGCTACAACAACGCTGCCTCCATCTAGAAGCCATCTTTCGTACCAATCTTGTCCCTGCTCCCAGTGCCTGCAAGATGGACAGCTTGACAACAGGTAAATGTCTGCTGTGAGCCTGCGTGCGCACAGAAGCAGCTCTGTGCGTGGGGCTCGGCTGATGTGTGCTTATGGTGACCAGACAGCAAGTGTGAAAAATCGGGACGGGGGTGGGGGGTAATAGGAGCCTATATAAGAAAAAGACCCAAAAAATCAGGACTGTCCCTATAAAATCGGGACATCTGGTCTCCCTATGTGTGCTCAGCTCAAATAGCATGCTGTGCACCTGTTTGTTTTCTGTGCAGCGGGCAATCGCTCGTCGCTGATCTCAGTAACTCCTAACCCTTTCCCCACAATGATCCCACAGAGAAGGTTGGACTATTGCTGCCAATGCGCCAGCTGCGGGGAACGCTGCAAAGATCCCCCATGAAGAGTCACTCGCCGTGTTATGAGTTTGCTTTGGCTGCTCTCGCTTCCTGTGAGCATGGAGGTGACAGTAAGTTTGGCCAGCACGAACATCTGTGTGAAATAAAACTTCAGAGTGCAATGCCGTGAAGTCATCACCACTGGATTTTAAATGGGCAAGTGCTGCAGAAGGACAAGCTTGTGTTGCTCAACCAATCACAAACCAGAAACAATACCAGGCGGTTTACCTAACCCGTACAGCTCACATACCAAATGCTCGCAGGGAGCTGTGCGCAAGCAAGAGTTACAACAATTCATTAACAAACAGTCGAATTGCAAACAATGAATGAAGCCAAGGAACCAGCAAACCACTCGTGTCTATTCTGTGAGCAGCAAAGGAGACAGTCCTGCTTGAGAATTATTCACTATTCTCCAATTACCTTCAAGTGTAATTTCATCTACCGCCTCATTGCCCTGCACCCCACACTCCCACCATCAATATGTTAGAAGCCAGCTGGAGATTCTCACAATCCTCCATCGTTTTCACTCACTGATGGCCTGAACCAGCTTGTTCAAGGCAATGAAAGACTCTCGTCGACTCCAACGGGGGCCTTCTCCAGCTCTTGATCTTACTTCACCATCTCGCTGTCCCCTTCCTCCTCCAAATCACTGTTATTTAACAAACACAAGTCCTCTTACTGACCTGGGAACTCCCACGACTAACCTTTGCACAATCTGCAAAGCTCCTACAGAATGTCTTTGTTTCTTGTTTGTTTTCCTTATTCATCTAGTAGGGACCTTATTAAAACCTTTTTTGGAAAATTGAAGTAAACTACATCGCTATTATCTGCTACTTTAACCTTCTCTAAAGAGGTGACAGGTTAGAAGACGTGGTTCTCTCTCACACAGAGGCCATCCAAGAGTTACACAATTCTTTGGTTAGATTTCCAGTTTTCTTAGCACTACCTATCATAGGGTTTTATACAGCTGCCCATCACCATAATCTCAGAGGGCCTTCCACGTAACACCATCCGCAACAGTGCTCTCCCTAGTGGACATCACCGTACTGAGGTGTCTCCTCTGCCCTCCAGCTGGCTGCTTACCATTTTCCATTACCTCCTGGGGGGGCGGGGGGAGGGGAATCCCTCTAGTGACCCAAAACCTGGTGGTGCAATGGAGCACCAATAATCCTCTCCCCCAGATTGCAGGAAGCTATGCAGAGACTCAAGAAAGGGGCACTTGGTCCATTTGTGCAACATTTTCTGCTATTCCTGATGCCAGAGCCGGCCACACTCTGTACATTTCCCCCCAGAGAGCAGCACAGCCAGGCCCCAAGGAAGGTCACTTGCTCTCCTTGCAGAGAAATTTAACATTGCCACTTGCTACCACTTGAGCAACAAGACTAACTACAACGACATGGTCCCGTCATACAGATTTCTTTATAACTCTGGGGCACTCCTTCCCTGCGCAGCCCCCTCTGTGCCAGAGTCTGAGCCTAGGGGTGGCCACAGACCTTTCTTCCATCTTATTCCTACACCTTAAATGCAACCTGGCCTGCTCCCCCCTAGAAGCCTAGGGTCTAAAGACTCACTGGATGCGAGGACATCAATGGCATGAAGTGGCCAGTTCCTTCATTTATCCTTGTAATGGCTCAGCATGTGCGCGAGGATGGGCCACACTGAGGGCACAGCAGTGGGATGCCTACATTGGACCACCACCATGACTGGCATCGGGGCTTTTTTTGACTAATTTCCGCTACACAGCAGGGGGGACTTAGGAGGACCAGCTGGCCAGATGTGGCTGCAACACTTGTTGGTTCCCAACCACGATGAGAAGCCATGGGAGACCTCCCTCAGTCAGCTGGCCCTGAACTAACGATTACACCCCAGGCGCTGCAGCCAATCAGTATCGGAGACAGCCGGTGCATGCGGAAGTAGGGCACTGATACTAGCCGCTCCAAGTATCCCCATCCAGGCTTTGCTGAGCAGCTTTTTCACCTTGGGCAGATAGGGTCAATAACACCCCACCCACACCACAACTTCTGCTGGATCAAGATCAGCGGTGGGAAAGCAATTTTTTTAAATGGGCATTTACACCCACTTCAGCTTAGGCTCTCCCCAGGCTAACGATGGTTTTCAATGGCCATTGAAAAGGAAAGCTCTTGTCACTCCACACAGGCTAGCCCTGCCAGCAAAGTCACCAGCTCCAGAACAGTCTGCAAGAACCAGTCCTACAAACTATAGCAGGAACAGCAAGGACACTCAACACTGGCTCCCCTGCCCCTATGCCCCCTGCCCCAACCCCCCCTCCTACCTCCCCAGCCCTCCGCCCCCCTCCTGCTCCCAGCCTCCCACCCCCAACCCTCCCTCCTCTCCTATGCCCCAACCAATCAAAAAAGAGGAAATTAATAAAATGTAAACAAACAAATGCAAACCCCTCCTCCAAGTAGAGTTTTGACCCCAGAAAGGAGACATGCCAGAGACTCCATGAAATCCACTACGCACTTGGTTATTGCTATGGATTTTATGGGGAAGGTGCCCATGTATTACAGAGATGGGCAGCGAGATAAAAGCCTAAGCAAGATAGCGCTGACAAAACTACCATGTGGGCAGGGCCCTGGGGATCCTCTTCTGGATGAGGCTGCCACAGGCTGGAAAGCAAGACCACCGCGGTGATGTTTGGGCACTGACTGCTAGTATGCACTGGAAATGTGATAACAATGTGAAGTCCTCCCCTTAATCAGCTGCCAGTTGGTTAAGTCTGCAGAATTGCCCAGTTACCGCTCTCAAAATAAAGGGGCAGAGCTCAGAGCACCCGGATTAGCAGGGACCACAGCTCCCACCCCTTGTGCCAACTAATGCTCATTTCTAATAAGTATTAATACAACGCCACAACTGTGCACGGCACATCACAGGTTAAGGCAGGGGAGAGACACAGTCCCTGCCACAATGAACTTCTAGTCTAAATAAGATGACACAGGACAGGACGGGGGAGAGACAGAGGGAGGGGAGGGCTGGAAGGAATCACGTGATTCACAGTACAGAGCGGTGGATCACGGACACATGTTTAAGTGGTGATTGGGGTCGGGCAAGACAGGAGCAGAAGGCAGAGGGGAGAGCCAGCAGGATTCAAGGAGGGAGCTGAAGGAGAAGAACGAGGAGCGCTGGGGTTCCAGGCACAGGAAAGGAGAGACGTACCCAAAAAGGTGAGCAGAGCAAGCCGAGCTCAGGGGCAAGAGAGGAGAGACAGTAGAAGCCAGGGCAGAGGGGTGGGGAGTTCGAACGTGCTGTTGGAACAGCCAGTGAAGGGATGTGGTGGGGAGTAGAAGTGTGAGTCATTTGCAGAGGGAGGGAAGAGATCGATTTAGCATTTGGTTGGTAGACCCAAGTCAGGCCCCTTGATTTGGCAAAGGCTGCTACCACCCTGGCTTTGCAGATGGCTGCTTCTTGGTCAAAGGGTAAGGACACACAAAGCCAATGTACGTGTTGCTCCCACTCTCCCGCTGGGTGACTGCGAGAAGGAGGTGCCCAAAAGAGGCCGCTCTTACCAAGATGCATTTCCCTGGTTCCAGACTCCATAGGGAACTCTCCGTGTTGATCTTGTGGGTGAGTCTCCCTTCCACAAGGACACGCTGGCTGCTCCCCTCCAGCACGGCCACGCGAATTGAGCTGCTGCTGAGATCCACCGACACCTGGAAGCACAGAGACAAGGAAATCAAAAGGGACATTCCCTCCTGCTTTCTCCCCTGTGTTTGCTGGGGCGGGGGGGTCGAGTGCACTCATTGGGGATGAGAGAGGAAAGCAATCAGCTCTTTATATAGCACGGAGGCTGGGAATCCTGCCACAGCTTCAGGGAGATGGAAAACCACCTATGTGCAGTCATTTACTCTACTGGGGACTTCTTCATGTGCCCTTTGCTATTGCTGCAGTTTGAGTGCATGCCCCAGCTTTCAGAACAGGGGGAATGAGGAGGGGATTTCTATTCTGCGAAGGATTCCACAGGGTTGAAGTGTCTCTCTCTCTCCCTGAATTCTTCACTCGTGTGCTAAAGACAAGGCATACTTGCTGGGTTGGTGGGGGGGGGGAGAGACAGCTTGGCATGTGCTTTAACGTCGACACCTGCAACTGATGGAGATTCCAGAATCAACCCGGAGAACAGCATGAAAATTGTGATCTTGGGTGGGTCCTATGCCTCCTGCTGCATCCGTGGTAGGGCTTGGAGAGCATGTGGGTCACGTGTGTGGGGGCAGAACATGGCCCGCTGCCCCTGCTACAGCACATATTAGGACAGGGCAGGAAATGGAAGCAAAGAGACAGCGCTGACAGCAAAGTCAAGAAAGGTTTTATTCCTGGCATGCCCTCTACAGGAATGAGGCCAGGTCCCTCACACAGCAGCAATGCTGCCATATGGGAGACCCTGATCAGACCTGCTGTGGAGCGGACATGCTTCTTCCCAAAGGAGGTGGAGGCAACTGCTGGCTTGGTTCATGGAGTGGTGTTACTTTCAGTCTCAGAAGAGACCATCTGTTCTTTCTTCCCCAGCCTCAAGCTGCAGTCACTGAAGAAAGGGATCTGGGGGGAGCCCGGCTCTCCCTCTATAAAAACATATTCAGGAAAGGGAACTGCCCCATCTTTCAAACACTGCCTTAGCACTGAGGCGAGGGGGTTACCGCTAGATATGCCTGAACACTCTCCCAGAGTTTCCCCAGATTTTGCTCTGCAGTTCTCATCTGAAATGTTCTTACATTATCCATTACCTAGGTGATTTCTAGTGACTCAGTGCGGGCAGGAGATAGACTGAAGCTGCTCCAGTCAGGGACTGCACCACAATTGCATTTGATAGATGCCACAGAGATAAAACCAAAAAATGAGCCACTTCTGACAGGTCCCTGTCAAGTTTTGGAGAGGACCTGAGAACACCCAGTGCACACAATGGAGGGGGAAAACAGGGAAAGCAAGAGCCACTAAGCTTAAATACTGCTCAGCCCAGACTGTGCAAGACGGATGTATCTAAAATACCCATGTGTAAGCTGAGTGGAGTCTCTAAATCAAACAAAAGGCCCATTGAGAGGAGCCCAAGGGGAATTCAGGAACAAAGGAACTGGGAAAACTGGCTGGCTCAGGGGACCGGTAACAGCATTAAGTCTCCTGTTTCGATCCAGTCCAGGGCAGACATGACTGGAAGCAAATTTCTATCTGACAGATGTTTGTGGGCCTTTGTGAACTGAGCTGAGGGAATCCACGTCCCACGTAGCCTCTCACAGAGGCCACGCCACGGAGCCAGCTTCCTTTCACACCCCTGGAGATGAGCCCCTCCAAGGCAGGGCGAAGGCCTTCTGGAAGGGGGTTGTGAAGAGAGCCCGGCTGCTGCTCCGTGGACAGAGGGCTTTCAGCCTCAAGGACTCTCAGCCTAGCCCCTTTCGTTCGTAACTCTCAGAGCTGAGGGAAGACAGGAGCTGTCAGAGGTTTAACCACAGGCAGTTTCTAAGCAGAATTAGTGCTGCAGGGTACTGCTCCCACAGCATGGCACAGAATAAGCCGGCAGCCTCCAAAGCGGAGGTCAGTGATTTAGCCACAGTTCAGCAAACAAATGAATCCTTAAACAAGCCTGCAATCTCTTTAGTCTGAGGTGGCTAAAAGAGAAGCCACTTGAGGCTGGATGTACTTCTCCAAGTGACCTCTTAGGAACAACCAGACCGGGCAGTAACAAGGCCAGGATAAGTGTGCCCAGGACCTGAGAAGTTTACAGCAATGTTTCAAAGAAGATCAGCCTCAGGAAGATGCCAGGAGGTGGTGAGCATGCCAAGAAAGCAGTATTATTTTTAATAAAGTCAATGGAGTATGGCTTCTCGTATTTGAAATGACACCTATTAGAGACTATAGGGCAGGGTACAGCCGGGGGGAGAGTTTGCGGAGATTGTGGAGAGACCCAGAGCGGATGGAGAGGCAATCCAAGCTGATCTGTTAAGTGATATGGCACCAGGATTCCCCAGACGGACGTGACTTGCTGTTTCATTGGGGGAGCTCTGGATCTGTAAGCACTCATGGGCTAAAGACAAGAGAGACCCTGATACAACACAATTAGGCTCCCAGAATAGGAACATTTATTGGAAATTTCCTCTCTGAGTTACAAGGACACAGATCCATTAACCAATGGGCTCTCAGCCTGAATATACACAGTCAAAACCAGACCTGTCAGTCATTGATATGGGAAGGTTTGGCCAACCACAGCAAAGAATGCACAAGTTGAAACTGTTTCCACAGCACAGGATAATATCCCCTGTGGACTGAAATTTCCAAACAAGCTTATACACACAACAACGAACTTGAGTTCCAACAGCAGAACATACCGTCACGAACTAATCAATGAGCCAAGCAGGCCAAAGAAATACTCTAAACAAGGGAGGGTCGGAGCTGTAGACCTTGGAACTCAGAGAAAGGAAATTTTCAATACATCAGAATAAGTTTTCCTATTCCACTAGTTGCACAGATCCTTTAACGAATGGGATTTTTATAGCAGTACACCTTCAGGGAGGGTTCAGAGCAAACAGAACGACAGGGTTTTAAATTCCTTCTCTACTCCTGGGATGGCACAACGTGGCGCGCCCTCCTACCAAAGGCAGCACCTGCTGAGGCTTAACGTGGTGCATCAGAGGCTGCTACCGCTCTCAGAGAGTAGGCTTGGATGCTGGTTGCTGGACAGAGACACTCTGACTTGTAGGCCTCATGGATGCACCATTTTAACCATCTTGAAACAGCAGATTTTGATACTTTTTCCTTGTAGATGCCAGATGGTAAAGAATAAATAGAGCATTGAACTTGGGACTCCTGCATGCAGTGGATGTAGATCTTGAAGGCTCTAAACCAGCTGTTCTCTTGGGCAAGATGGCTTTGGACAAAGCAGGGAGCACAATTTTCTAGGCTCAATGAGTTAATTTTTGGGATACAGCCCAACTCTGCTCGAAGAACCACACCATCACTGCAGAACGTGCAGTAGCGTTCCTCAGTAGATCAGACCCTTCTGGGCAGAGGTGATGGCTACCAGGGAGGCCACCTTGACGGAAAAGAAATACACGATTACATTCCTGAAGGGCTTGCAGCCCCACCTCCCAGCTATTTCAGTGCTTAGCCAAAACCAGCCCCTGGATTCAGAGCAGCTGCTAAACTGCAGCCAGGCAAGACTGAAGCGATGTTGGTGGGAAGAAGTTGTGGTTTTAAGATTTCCCCCACTGTTGAGCGCATCAGCCCTTCAGATTAAGCTGGCCTGGAGCCTCGGGGCCCTTTTTAGCTCCTCTGGGCTCATGGATGTCCAAGTAGCTGCAGAAATGCCACTCCTGCACCTGCGATGGGCCAGATGATCGTGCCCCATCCAAACACGCACACTCTTGGCCACAAGGACTCATGCATTTGGAGACTTCTAGGCTTGATGATTTCAATTCATATCCAGAACGAAGCCACAGGGCCTGAGGAAGCTCCAATGAACACAAAACACAGCAACCAGTCTGCTTAGCAATTCAGGTCACCGTGATCTCATCACCTCCCGGCTCCACTCTCTGCAGTTGCGCCCCATTAAATATAGAGAGCGATTCAAGGTCTCTGTCCCTGATGCTCAAAGTCCCCCATTGGATTGCCCTAGCTGCCTCTCCCCCCCCTGCCCCCACCACAACTTCCCATGACAACTCCATTCCACTGGAGTCACGGAAGATGGGACGCAAGGGTGCAGGAGACAGAACTTTCACCGGAGCCGTGCCTAGACTATTAAACCAACTCCCACAAGAGAGCAGAATGACTGTGGGCCTTGCTGAGTTCAGAACTCAGCTCTTCCATGTCGCTTTCAGCCCCAATAATTTCTTCACACACAAATACACTCACACACACCCACACCAAGCAAGCAAGCAAACAAAAAACCTATGAACTAATCCAGCTATTTCTCCTACAGGCTGGGAAGGAAGAAAGATTTGTCGTTGTTATTTTTACGTTCAAGTTCTGGGGAGGCACTCATACTAATGTGATGTGATGGGAGGGGAGGGGGGGCTACACTCAATCAGAGTTCACGGTGAGAGAGAGGAACCTCTACCCTCCCAGTCTCCAGCTGCTGCTCCTCCAGGGACAGTCCAGGGACAGCTACATTTAAGCTTGCCTGAGCCAAAATGCCATAGCAACCGTCCTAAATCAAAAGTTAATCATGTTTAAAATGAGATTTTAAATCATCTTTGGTGCTGGGCACTAGTTCACAGCCAAGAAAGCCCAGTGAAGTGCATTTTAATCTCACTTTACTTCAGCTTTTTTGCTACCAAGTAGGAAAAGAGTAAGCTTATTTGTAGAACATGGGTGAACACTTCCAGTTTGCAAGATGCCGTCATTCACAAATCCTATGTCCATTTACTTACAAATTTGGTAGAAAAATTATACTTTGACCCCTGACCTAGCCTATCAATTTTGATGGAGATACGGACGTTTTTGTGGATTTTAGAGTGGGTCAAGATCTGGTTTAAATGAAAACTCAGCTGCAACCTTAGCTATGTAGTTGCTTCCATGACACTGGATAGATGAAAGAGAGGGTGACATTACCATGTGTGTGAACCGCTTCACTACAGGCGTCGTCTGACAAGGGGAGTGCATGCTAGAAACCCACGACTGATGATTCAGATGTTACTGTCACCTCTGAACAGCTGGGGTCAGCCACAGCTTAGCTCACAGCCACACAGCTCGCAGACTGGTGGCCTCACTCCAATCCTCCCAGGGCCTTTGCCCACAGCAGGGAATGTGGCGGTGCTGCAGGTTAGAAAGATCTGCAGTTTCTGTGCCGGGGGACCAGGACTGGATGAAAAGACACAAATGGTGTCACTTCCTGTTTCCCTCCCCCAGCCAACCCCTTCTTAACCCTGCCTATCCCCAGGACACCCCTTCCTGCAGCAGAGGGCCATGCCTGTGGTCACACACATGCCACCTGGCCAATGTTATTAGAGAGGAGAAACGTGAAATCGTAGGGCTGTGCAGCAGCCCAGCCAGGCATATTCTCCCGTGCAGAAGTAAGAACTCCTTCCTCCCATCTAAACCTCGGCACGGTGCTGTGGGAAATCTTGTAGAGCAGCTACCTGCATGAGTACAACTCCATTCAGGCCCGAGTGCCGTAAACTATATCCTCTTTAGAAAGCGTCAGAACACTTGGAAACATTCATTCAGATTCAACCCCTCCGTGGGGTAGATGAGGGCGAAAACAGAGATTACTTGACCCACCACTGAAACGCAGCCACTTCTGTGGTGGGCCAGGCCAGCTGTTTAACAGCATGCGGCATCACTACACAATTGTGTAGGACAATAAATGAAGAGAGCTCAAATCCAGTTGAACTTGCAGGGGTGTTTGGAGAGGAAGAAGAGGAGGTGGAATCTGGACAAGACGCTTACACGTTGACCCTTGCAATAAATGCCTTGAGAACGTTAAAGAACACCAGTCACTGGGAGCTCAATTTTACATCTCATTTAAAAGACAGCACCTTCAGCCACACAGCAGCTCCTGCATTGTGCTGGGGAATTGACTCAGAACCAGCTTACAGGGGAGACCACCCCTAACAAGTCACCAACACCACTCTTACAGATCCTAGGTAGTCTCCCATCCACCTTCGTTTGTGAGATCTGAAGAGAACGTGGCACAAGCCGGGAGCATCTGTGAGCAGGTCGCGTTGGGCTTTCCTAATCACAATCTAGCCAACCAGCTCTGGGAGAGACAGACCATCTTTAAGCCAGTTCAGTTTCCTGATTACCAAGATTAGTCTCTGCAGTGGAATCGGGCTGACATCTGGCAAATGTATTTGCATGCAGGGAAAAGAGAAGTAATGTAAACTGAGCTAAAAAATAACATGAAGTGACTACATCAGCCATCAAACTCTGCTGCCAGGGACAGCAGGGTCACCCCCAAGGTCATGCTGGGATGCTCATTAAAAGGAAAGGAGGGAAAAAGAAAAGAACGACAAGCCAGAGGTTTCTTTCTGCCCCTCTTTCTTCTAAGCAGAGTGAACACTAACCCGTTCCTCTCTCTCTCTCCTGTCCCTTCTCTAGTTGCTAGCGGCCTTCAGCTCATGATGCAAAAGGGGGTTGGAGGATCCAGCACCATCAGAATGAAGGGTGGCTCTGCAGTGCACCCATGCAGTACCAGAGTGCAGGACCTCCCACGCGAGGACCCTGCTCCTTCAAGCTGGCACCATATGCAGACAGCACTGTGCTTTCAAGTCAGGCCCAGAACTTCACTGGCCTGAAGGCTGTTCCCGAAGAGGAAAAGCCCCTCACTGCAAAACAAGGTAGAAGCAGGTGTTGTTTTCTCAGACCTAGCAAGAAATAGTTCTGTTTCATTTTATAGACCCTATAGAAAAAGGGTGTCTTGGGCGCCCCCTGCTGGCCCCGCAGCAGCAAACTACATTCTGCCTACGTCTGTGCTGCCACTGTCAATTATGTTGATGCACAAACAAAGCTATTTCGGATACAGAGCTATGTAGGTTGAAGTTGGTGAACAAAACCGACTGTGCTCATTTCAGCTGCCCTGAAAACAGAGGGGAAGGGGGAAAAAAAAAAACATATTTCCCAAATGGAAAAATACAAAGTCGGTGGGGGCCTCTTTAAAGGCTTCTAGGACAACGGAAAGTAAAAATAAACCTCTGGCTCGAACAGCCAGTCTGTCTGTGTACCCCTCCCTGAACCCACCCCCACCAATAAGATCACAGAGTGGGAACAAACCAAAGAGGGTTGTAATTTACATTAGCTACCCCAAACCCACTGTCCAGCCCAGCAATGAGATGCTCACAGGGCAGGAAGTGTGGAGGAGGAAGGGCAGCTACAGCTACCTGTAGATTTTCCTGCAGGTCACTTGCCAATGGGTCTCTGCCAGGTTAAAAAAACACCCTCCATCCATCCACCTGACAATATTGTCAGATCAACTCACATTCAAAAAGGCAGGGCTTCCCCACAAGCGCTAAGCGAGCAGGGAGAACAGGGGCGGGGGATCGGATCGTCAAAGGGATCTGCCTCATTCACTAAACCCAGCTCCCATTCCCTTGTGAGTCCAAGGAAACCAGTCTGGGGTGAAATGAAGCAGGCCACTCTGCCGCATGCCTCAGCTGTAGTCACATGAGCTGCACTTGTTTGAATCCACCCTGCAGGCAGCTCTCTTACAGCAGCACAAAATAAAGCTACAGAGCAGCGAGCCACGGGGCAGTCTGAGAGAAACGGGGACCTCGTGCGGGACGACCTGGCCTTTAATTACACCAGTTTGGATAACGTGTTTCCTTAGGAGGCCTCAGCTTGGAGGCAAGGTCTGGGTTTCAGTGTGTGTGTGTATAAAGTAGCCACTCAGAGCCAGCATCTGGGTTTCAAGCGAGGGGGAGTGGAGAAGAAAGAGGAAATATGTCATTGTATTTCTCCCAGGAAGCTGAGGCAGCGTCTGGGGTCTGCAGGGGTAGGGTGCGCTGATCAAGCCAGGGGATCAGCGTCTGCACAGGCCACGCATGCCTGCATGAGAGGAGGCAGCTGCATTCTGCTGCACTGAAAGGGAATCAGGCATGGCCTTCAGTGGGCAAGTTTGGGGCACCCCTAGCATGCGCACGCCTGCTCCATCACAGTTCAGCATCGCTTTGCAGGCAATTAGAGCTGCTAAGAAGCAACACACTGGCAGGCTGGGGCGATGGGGAGCTCGTCACCCGTCACAGGCTGACAGCACGGGTGCTCATTACCTGCCTGCCTTTCACAATGTGCTTGGGCACCGGCACTTTAATCTCCAGGTCGCTGTAGTCTTGGGACCAGGCGTAGTTCTCTCGCACGGCTCCATTGTAACTGTCAGGGTTGGTCTGGAACTGCTCCTGCCTCCTGAGGGGAAAGAGCGAGATGGCAGGTGTCAAGTGGCTCGGCACGCGGCGAGCAGGAAACACCAGGACACACTGGGCGAGGCAGATGGAGAGTGCTGGGCCTGTAATCGGCTACCTGGAGGCAGAGCAAGGAGCACCGAAGAGCGACTTGACAGGCACTCTGCTGCCCACTCCCTGGGACCTCTCTTTGCTGGGGACACCTGCTAAGGGAACAGGTTTGAAACAGCTCCAGGCTCCCACAGGTCTTCCCCAGCCCCAGGACACCTTGTGCGGAGAGAGGGGTGTCACCTGCCTTGCCAGTTTGCTGCTTATTAATGGCCCAGGTAGACTCAATGTCTCTAATACCGGTGCCTTTCCCCACTTGTGTTTGCAGCAGAAACTCCCATGGCCAACCTAGGAAGGAATGACTGTAAATGTGCAAAGGGATCAGCACGCAATGCGTCCAGGCCCCTCTGTCTCCAACCTCCATGCAGCCGCCAGACAAAGACTATTACCAGCCAAGGCATGTCTAGCCTGACCCAGTGACCTCAGCACACGTGGGAACATGACAACCCGATGAGGAGAGAGGAACTGGTGAACGGAGGCAAACTGGGATTTTTCTAAGGAATATTCAGATTTCCTTTGGCTACTTACAAGGTGCTGAACTGGACGAAGCCAGCGACAAGGGAGACACCACAATGGTGGACACAGGCTGCTGTCCTTTAGCATAGCCTTCCTGACCTGCTGCCACTCTACGGAGTGGTACAGAAGAAGCCACCATGTCCACACAGCCTATCTGCCTGCCCTGGCCAGACCAGAGAGAGGTGCTCACAGAGGTAGCTGGCGAGAAGGAAGTAGACTGGGCAGTATGAGAACAGCTGGAAAGAGAAGGTGGGCTATAGCCAATGCGTAGCTGATGGGGGCTACAGCTAGAACCCCTCCTCCAAAACATGACTACAGTATCGCCCCTTTAAACATTTCTCCTCTGTGTTACTCAAAGGGGAACTTCAAAATAAAAGGGAAGAATGAGGGAAGCCCACCCAGAATCTAGTGCAGAGACCCCATGCACCAGCTTTGACTAACTTTTTAACATTCTTTGTTGGTATCCCTGGGCTCAGTGAAGATATCCCAGAATGCTTCACTCTGACATAATTAATGCCATAGATTGCAAAAAAGGCACCTGGTATTTGCGGTCTTGTGTTCCGAGATCATTTTGCTGAGCCAGGAAGTACCAGGAGGAGAATTCCACAGAGGGAGAAAGAGGATTTTTAAAATTAATGGAATCTGGGTTACCTGATTCCCCCCAGTCCACCCCCAAGCCTGGTTAGACAGACAGGAGCTTCGGAATCAAAATCTGGACTACACTCAGGTCTTATTTTTCTTTTGCATTCACCTTAAAAAAAAAAACCAAACAAACAAACAAAAAAACCCACCCTAAAGCTAACTGCCATATGAGGAAATTAGTGTTTAGGAAACAAACATTAAGTGCCTTGACTCTGATGGGTTTCTAATATAGAGATGACGGCAAGATTTGCCTAGTAAGATGCTTGAAGAGTTGTCATAGCCTGAGCTAACAGTTTTGTTGTGTGGTGGTTTTTTTAAGAACTGGTGCAGTAGAGGAGCATTTTGGGACCTGTAGCTCAGGATTACCTGTCTAAATGGACACCGGTACATTGAAAAAATTCCTACTGACAATTTAAACGATTCAAGAGTCTGAGGAGCCCCTTTTAAACAATGCGGAAACAATTATTTACCTCAATTCCTTTATAAAACGTTGATTTGCAAAAGGTGTTTTCTGCTCCCCTGTGATATTTGCAAGGGTCTATCCAGCAGGGAAGAGTGGCAGCACCAAATATGCTTGAACACACCCTCTCTGGGCACAGGCCTGTTTGCCGACTTCTCCGTTTCAGTTTTGCAGCTGTTATTACCGGTAAACACCCTTTTGCAAGGTGTGAGGGGCACAGTATGTATGCACACAAGCCCTCTATCCCAGTCAAAAGCAGAGCAGGCATGGGACTGGCCGCACAGCGGTGAGATCAGCTAGTGCATAAGACAGGACGCGTAACTGACCAACAAAACAGTGAAAGTAACTCCACACAAAACAGTTGCCAGTGCATAAGGGGAATACACTAAAGAAAAAACAAACAATTGTTTTCATAGCTATAGGAATCTTATGGGGTATTTATAACAGTAATCCATAGAATTTTCAGCGGGAAATGAGATTCCTAACTTGTAAACGTCCCTTTAAATCATTGTCAGATAAAATCGCTTTCTTTTTAATCTCACAGGAAGGGTTTGTTTTTTTTAAAAATCGTTTCTAAACATAGCTGCAGCGCTAACAAAAGTCTGAGTTATTTTAAAATGTTTTGACACGTACCTAGTCTTCGATCTTGATTAATATAAACAAGGGCTGCAGTGAGTTATGTAACAGGTAATGTAACGGGCCCACAAGACGGCCCACCCAAGGGACCTATCCCCCATGCAAGCACCCACGCACTGCTAGGCCTTCAACCAACCAAGTGTGGGTGGTTTCCAGCAGAACTGCATGCTGAAGATTATATAAGAGACACAGATTTTAATTAAATTAGGCTTTTTTTTTTTTTTTAAAGAGTTCAAGGAGTAAAAATAAGATGTCACCAGTCTTATTAAAGCAGTGGTTTTGAAACCACTTGCTGAAATTAACCAATGAGAGCACCAGGTGCAAGGGGCGCACACAAGGCAGCAGCTGCGGGGTCTGAGCTCTGCAAGCTCAGTTGCTTGTTGGAATGTCCTGTCCCTGTGGAAATGGACCAGAGCAGAGATTTAAGGAGGGTATTGAAACACTTTGACAAAGTTTGATTTGCCTGGTGTTCGCCCATTGGGCCTCCATTTCCATGGAGACGGGGTTGGCATGGCAGCAGAGAACCAGCGTTCTTGCTGGTTGGTTCCAGCTGCCAGCTTCCAAAACCGCCTACAGATTTCAGGAACCGAAAGCACTGGGGGACAAATAGAAAATGAAAGCGCAGGGGAAGATTTCAGACGCCCCACAACACTCTCGCCCACGACCGGCAGAGTCATCTTGGGAGGGCAAACTGGCTAATGATTTCCAAGCCACGTGATCACTTCAGATACCTGCACAGCGTGAATAAAACAAAAAATCAATTCCAACTCAGGGTCCTGGTGTCAGCAGCAGCTACCGCTACAGACGAGACTCTGGACTGTCATGTTGCCATGCAAGGAGAATGCCTCAATAGAACTGTCTGAAAAAGCACTTTATGGTTACCCCACACACCCACATGCTTCATGGGGAGAGGAAGGATGGTCAAGTGGTTAGGATGCTAGCTTGGGCTGTTGGAGAGCCAGATTCAATTCCTCTGCTCTGCCACAGACTTCCTGTGAGACTTTGGGCAAGTCACTTAGCCTCTCTGGGCCTCAGGTCTCCATCTGCATTAAAGATCACGAGGGGTTCAGAGACTACGTCAATGGGTGGTTATAGAAGTAGCTGAGGTATATAGAGAGACCCATGTTTCTCACCCACCCATGAGGGAAGAGAGCTAGTGTGCTGCATAAGGGTTACTGAAAACAGCGGTGGTTATTCATCAAATAAATCCCTTTTGTAATAAGTCACCAATCTGTGGGGTGATCCCCCATATCCAGAGTCAGGCTCTGCATTACCCAAATCAATTCCTCCATTCTCGATGCTTTTTTATAAAGGGAGGGAATCGCATTTGGCCCTCTGAAGTATAAAGGCAGCCCGGCGGTGGTGGGGGGAGGAGGGCTAAGGGGTTTAAAAAAAAGTAGGGGTCCTGCTTGCTTGTTTCCAGCAGAAATAATCAGGTCTCAATTTATCTGGCTTTGCTGAAGGGCGAGCGCTGGAGAGCTAGTGGAATGAGGACATTACAAGAGCTATTGAGAAAGGGTCAGGCAATTTCAAATTCAGAGAGGGTCTTTTTGGTTAGTGCCTATTTAACTCAAACCCTTAACAAACAGCGGGGAGAAAAAGCTCTCTGTGAAACATGCAACACCTCCACTCCAACTAAGGGCTGAGAAAGCTGCTGCTCCAGTTCTCTGGCCCTCCACAGAGTCATCCTACAAAAACAGGAAAGACAATTTGATGTGCCTGATATTTCTAAAATAAAAGCAGAAAAGCAAACAAACATTCCAGGTTTCCGTTATCCATAAGAAAAAAGCCAAAGGCGGCACACCTTTTTCACCTTAATTCCATATGGCTGTGTAGGTAATGGGACCACAGTCCTGTTTCATTCTAATCAGCTTTCCCCCTTCAGCCTCTCAGGGTATCTACTTGGGGACTCAAGTAGCTCATAAAACACAATTGTATTATTGTCATTTAAATAACATACACCAAAGAGGGCGACATCAGAAAGGTGGGTCATCAGGAGAATTACTGGATCAATGTCTGGGGCTTCCTACCAGCTAGCAAAAGGCAGGCTGGGATTTTTATTTCACAAACTGAAGCTGGGGGAATAGCTATTCATGACTGTATTGTAGGTGAGTTTACAGGCCTCTCCTGGGTCACAAAGCTCGCATCTCATTTTAATCTACAAGCAGGGGCTTCAGAATGACTTCCCTCTAGGAAATCTCCAGCCGCTCCATTTCTCTTTCCACTTAGCACGTTCTGTTTCCGCACCCCAACCTGCATGACAAGGCGGTTTGCTTTTTAAAGGGCTGCTCTGCATTTCTAATTGCAGCAGCCACTTTGCAAGGCAGATGAGAAGGAGAGTGCTCAGAGGTCACCCTCCTGCGGCAAAGGTCAGTCTTAACAAGGGCTTGCGAGGCCTGGAGAGAACAGGCTGTTGCACTCCCAGACTGACACCAGTGCATCTCTGCTGGAAAAACTGGGCAAACAAGCTGAAGCTCATCAAAACGCAGCTACTGTGCTGGAGCCGAACGGCCCTGAGGAAGGAAGTCATCTTGACACGTAGTGCTCACCTAGGGCTGGCTGGAGCACACTTTCGCAGCCCAGCCATGAGTTGGGCCTCACAACAGCCTTGGGAAGTAAACCAGTATTACCCACTATTTACA